AAGCCACAACTGCCTTCAATTAGACAAAATGAAATACATACTTAATTAAATACTTGTTTTTATATTAAAAATATTTCTAAATTAATAAAAGGCATAATGGATACATAATTTTATATGTAAAATATATAATAATATATCAGGACATTTTGCTAAATTAGATGATAAAATAGCATCAATATAATTTTAAAACATAATTTTGACATTTATAAATAGTTATTTTGCTCGGTTTGAAATTCAAGAAGCGTGATCTATTAATTAAAAATAGGTAGGGCCAAAACTATGTGGCAGACCCACAATTACCACCAATAACCGTCATATATATATATATTTCGAAAATAGTCAAATTATTCAGATATAGATTTTAAATCATTGCTATTTAAATATTGCATATTTTGTGACAAAATTTTGTTGTCACTAAATCACCGGATTATTAGAGACAATAAAATGATTGTCATTTTATTAGAGACAAAAACAAAGGTCACAATTAAATATAAAAATTTGTGGCTAAAGCGTACGACATTTAACCACGAATTCTAATTTGTCACTGTTGCAACAACCTATTTTTTATGACGAATGTTTTTCGTATCCAAAATTGTAACCAATTTTAAGACAAATAAAAGTTTGTTACAAATTGGATATTGTATTAGCGACAAAATAATGTGTCACTGATAACTTAGAATTCATTACTAGTGGTACTGAATAAAGAGCGCTAAATTACTTTTTGGTGGGAAACTTTCATGGACTAAACTTCGCTACAAAATTGTAAATTTTGTCACTAGAAGTATGTTGCTCATGCATTTAAATACAATTTTTTTGTCACAAAAGGTGAATAATTAGTGACAAATTTTGTGTCGTGCCTAAGAATTTCGTAGGTAAATATCATATCTGTTGTAGTGAGAGTGGTCAAGCAAATGCATTAAGGGGGAGTGTTGGAATTAATGTATTCACACCTTGATGTTTAGTCTTCCAATATTGTCTCTTAGTATTTCAAGAAGTCTTTAAGGATTTTGCAATACATGTATCTAGTAAATTGTGATACATGTATCTAGTTATTTGTGCAAAACTTTTGGTTTTACATTTTTATTAGTATAAATAGAGATGTAATTGATGATTCTAATCATCTCAAGTGGTCTTAAGTAGCCTATATAAAACTTGAGCATTCTCTAAAGAAATATTCTCCTTTTATATTTCCTACGAAAATATCATAAAATAAAGGGAAAAGACTCAAATATGTCACCGAACTTTGAGAAAAGGCTCATTTATGTTAGTCGTTAAAACTTTGGCTCATCTATGCCATTTTCGTTTGAGAAAGGGTTCATCCATGCCATCATTTGTCAACTGAAAACAATTCTATGTTTTGCGAAACTATTTTTTACACGTGATCAATTATGATTCGGCCATGTCATTAATTAAATCATTTTTCAAAGAAAACGAGTCTTAAATATGCCATCAAACTTTAATAAATGGCTCATTGATCTATGTCTTCCCCTCCTAGGCCCCTCATCTTTTTTGCCTTCATCTTATTCTTTTTGTTCCTCCTAGTTCTTTAAATTTTTCTCTTTTTTTCACTAATGAAATCTCTCTAAATTGAGCATATTGATGGAATTTTAAAAATCTAATTTGAAAGAAAAAGTTGTGGAAGAAAACGAAAGGGATGCTATCGGGTTAGAAAAAGACCTAGTGGATGAGGTTATGGGAAGAGGAAGAGTTGTGCAGGAGATAGCGAATTTCAGACCCGTGTTGATGGAGGAGAGTCTTGAGGGTGAAGAAGAATAAGGAGGAGGGTGTTATGGAAGAGGAACTCACCTTGAGCTTCCAAGTTTAAATCTCAAAACATTATAATTTATTTTTTTGAAGTGCCCCGAAATAAAATTCTTGGACCTGTCATTGATGAAAATGATCATCATATTTTGAGTATAGTAGCTAAGTGCAATAAGACAAGTTTTTAGATAATTATAGTGACATTGTTAAGTAACATTATACTTGTGTACATTATTGTCAACAAGATACTTCCTTATAAGAAAAAAGAACAATTATTTTGAGCCATAAAACTAGAAGTGCAATCTGAATATTAAATTGTATGTTGTCAAACAACATTTTTCTATCATGGCAAAGACCTCTTTCTACCACAGCATCTTTGATTAGCTTTAGAGATTGTACAAGATCGTCCAACAATTGATGTGGATCAGGACTCACTCTTTCATCTATTGATAGAACAAAAGAATTCTTGTTTACATAGCTTTTACAATTAATCATCAATGCCTGAAATTTACATTTGCGCGTAAGCTATTAAGATCTGTAAAATTAGGTCTTGGGCCTAATTCACACCCCAAAATCTAGCTGAGAATGGAAGCAAAAACTTCAAATTTGTAAGAGTAAAACACCTACATGAGCCATAAGAACTGGGTGCAATGTAAGCCAAAGGATGCCCACACAAGCAAATTTCTTCTTGAGGACCAGGCAGACAAGAAAAGCATATTGTTGTATTGGTGATAGTTCTGTGCGATATCGAACTTGATGTCTAATAAGATTAAGAACAAGAGGAGTTTGAGAAAATATGAGCAGATTGATTGTTCTGCTGTTTGTACGCTTTATTTATAGACTTTGTACATGTTTATGATTAATATAAGAATCCTTATCTACTATGTATTCTAACGGAAGAGTAATCCTTTTGTTACAATGAATAAGCTACAATAATCTAATTCTAGTTGATGATGGACTCTAATAGCCCCCTGCAAGATCATGTTCTGGAGCGAACCATGAGTTTGGATCGAAGATTGAGGAACCGACTTGTGCCAACAGCTTTGGTAAAGATATCTGCAATCTGATTTTGAGATGAAACATAGCGAACCACTAAAGATTGATCTTCAACCATCTCTCGGATAAATTGATAATCAAGACGAATATGCTTTGATCGTTGATGGATGACAGGATTCCTAGATAAGAATTGTGCACTAAGATTATCACAAAGGACTATGGGAGGTGCAGTGAGTGGAGAATGTAGTTCACTGATAAGTTGCTGGACCCATATTAATTCAGTAGTTGCAAAGGCTAAAGCACGATACTCAGCTTCAGTACTTGAGCGGGCGACAGCCTTTTGTTTTCGCGAAGACCAACTGATTAAGTTACCTCCATAGAATAGTGCAAAGCCATGTTGGGAGCGACTATCATCAGGATCAGAGATCCAACCAGCATCTGAAAAGGCCACAAGACTAGAATCAGACATAGGTCGTAGTAAGAGGCCATCATGAATTGATCCTTTTAGTCCCGTCGTTAAGCCCACAACATCAACACATCCACTTTTGTGTACCAAAACAATATCATAAAAGACCAATTTTTTGTAACATGTCGCCGCAATCCCTTATTGGAATGCTTTGAAGAATCAATAAGCCTCTTTTTACTTCCATGAATAGGTGGAACTTTATCTGGATCAGCAGTTTGGTGTGTACACGCCAAGAGAAGGGAAAAAAGAGAAGTTCTCCACAAATTTGTCTGGTGATTCCTGCAGGTTCTGTTAATTAATTTGTGGCACCACAATGTGCTGATCTAAGTCCACCTTTGTCCGCACCCATTTCATTTCTCTGCCTTTTCCCTCATCAATTGCTTGCAGTGAATTAACCATGAGGGCTATGAAAGTAAAACAAGATTTTTGAATACGAGCGTTTTATGCTTTTTGTCAATTCTCTCTTTTATTAGTTAACAATATTTATGTATTGAACTTACTTAGGAGAAGTACACTAGACTTGTTCTTAAGTACTTGTAGTTTCAATTTTTATTGGCTACCATCAAGTATAATGTATGTTTTTATTTGATAGCAGCAGGTTATCAATTCATCGTCTTTTACATCTATTCATCTTGGTGAATTTAATCAGAAAATAGTGTTCTTTCTGTTTAAAGTTGTTTATTTGTGACTTGACACCGAGTTTAAGAAAGTAAAGAAGACTTTTAAATCTTACGGTCTTAAACTAAATACACATAGAATGTACCAAAGTGTTGTTTATTTTGTCGTCTAATTAAAGATGTAATGAGAAAGTTAGAATTAAAGGGTTGTCAGTTGTCACGAAAAGAAAATTCATTTTTAGCCTACTAAAATGGAAAGTAAGACAAACGAAGTGTTATACTGGTACCGGCAGGCTGGAGAAAGAGGATGTTTAAGCAAAGTATTAGCCACATGCTCTCTGGAGCTTGCTCAGTGCTGGCACTTGTTTTGATGTCCAAAATAGCTAGAACGTGCACGTTGAAGTTGGGTCAAGAAATAGCCTCGATGACAGACTCAATGGCTCTTCGATCTTCAGATGCTTCAATGGCTTTATCCTTAGTTTCAATTGGTTTCAGACTCGGTTTTCTCCATCTAATTATGGACTCCATTGTTATAATATAATAGTGATCTTCTGGAAATGAGTTTTTATTTCTTCGTATATATACGTAACAGAGAACCAAAGTAGTGGCGTTTAATTTTGTCCTGCATACATGTTATATGGCCAGTATTGAGTAGGTATATAGATGAAGGTTGATGGTTGTATAATTATTGTTATTTGCCCATTTTTCGTTAGATTTACGAGTTTTTTTGTCTTGTCACGAACAATGTGTCCATCTATCTCAATTTACTTGGTGTCATTCTATTTTGAGACCCAAACGACATATGTCCCTAAAGCCTATAGCGACATTGAATCCAATGACAATTAACTAATGCCGGTAAAAAAATCTGCACTCTTTGTTAATGTGTATATTTATCGCGACTAAAATTTGTTTTTTGTTGTAGTGACATATGAAACATATTTTAATGAAAGCCATTAGAAGTTATGTATTGAGTTCTATCAACGATAAAAAGGAAATATAAAATAAAGTAATGGGGATTAAACTAAAACCACTTCAAAAATTCAAGATGGAAGAGGTATACATAACATTTGTTCTCTATGTTGGTGATGAAAAGATGTAAATCTATAGCATATTTAAAGGATCAATGTTCTTGCAAACATTTGTTAAACCTGAGAACTTGTTCAACATTCAAGAAGTTGAATCTTGATGGTTTTTAACCTTGCGACAACATCTTTCATGTCAATCCTTCCTTTAGGAGATTCAACACAACAATTTATTGCTACTTTCATGATGGATACCACACAATCAATTTTTTTCACTAAGTGATTATCTTGTGGTGTTATTAAGTTGGGATCGACAACTTCCATTACTGCATGTGGGAGTGAATTGCTCACCCATTGCTTTAAGCTAAGATCTCCATCAAACATCTCATTACTAGGCTTTGTCCTTGTAAATGTTTCCATCAACATTATCCCATAACTATAAACATCGCATTTGGTTGACACCATTCCTTCCAATCCATACTCTACAATGAGAATTTTATATTCAACATTTCTTGGCAGAAAAAGGAAAAAGAAAATATTCAAAAAAAAAACAACAATTAATTAAGATAACTTACCTGGTGCGATATAACCCAATGTTGCTAAAGTTTTAGTGTATAAAGCACTCTCATCTTCAGAAATCAATTTTGAAATGCCAAAGTCACTTAGGTGTGCAACCATGTCCTCGTCCAACAAGACGTTACTAGGCTTCAAATCACAGTGTATCACGGGCAATGAGCAGCCATGGTGGAGATATTCTAATGCACATGCTACATCTATCATTATACTCAGCCTATGCTTGATGTCTAAGAAGTAGTTGTGTGAATACAACCACTTATCGAGGCTCCCATTGGACATGTATTCGAGTACCAACGCCTTAAAATCAAGGTTGGAACAACTAGTTATGACTTTGGTGAGATTCCTATGGCGAAGATTGCGCAAAACTTCACATTCTGTATCGAAACTCCTAAATGCCGGTTGCAATTGTAGATTGAACACTTTAGCTGCAATGAAAGTCCCATCTCTTAGGATGCCTTTGTAAACAGAGCCGAAACTCCCTGAACCAATCAAATTGCTCTCGTTGAGTGAATCAGTTGCTTGGAGCAATTCATAGTATGAAATTCTTCCTCTTGTTGAGACAAAAGAGGACGAATCAACACCTAGTTGAGGATCAGTTGATTTTCCTCTTATATACTTTATCCATACAAACGCAAAGGCGATGGACACTAATACAAGTGCAATTCCAATCGGTAGAATCAAAACAAGTACTTTTTTTCTCTTGGATCTATGCTTTGAAGTGCTACTCTGGCATGGGGGGACACGAAATCTTGGAGAACCACACAATGCTTCATTGGATATGAAAGACTGACTGGATAGGTTCTTGAAAGGACCGCTCGAGGGGATTTCACCAACCAAATTGTTGAATGAAACGTTGAAATACTTGAGATTTAGAAGCTTCTCCAAAGACTTGGGAATTAATCCTGAGACATTGTTATGAGAAAGGTCTAGAAATTCCAAAGCTGATATGCTGCTCATTGAGCTAGGAATTGAACCTTGCAATTTGTTGTCTCTCAATGAAAGGTGTATCAGATTTTGCAAGCTACCAATTTCTTCAGGTATGCCATTCGAGAGTTTATTCATCGAAAGATCCATCTGTATCATGGCCTTTAGACTTCCGATTTCTCGAGGTAAAGAGCCAGTCAAGTTGTTCGAGGATAAATCAAGGTTTAGGAGATTTTTGGAGGTTTCCTAAATTAGCTGGAATGTTTGAATGCAACTTGTTGGTACCTAAAAATATCTCCCGAAGGGAAGTTAAGTTCCCGAAACAATTAGGAAGAGATCCTGAAAGTTGATTTTGATCCAAATGTATATACCCCAGGTTCTGCAATTTACATAGATTGTCTCCGATAAATCCAGAAAGTCTATTGCCACTCAACTTAAGACTCTGAAGGAGTCTCAAGTTGCTAATTGTTGTGGGAATTGATCCAACCAAACCATTTCCAGAGAGATCGAGGTCTATTAAGCTACTTAAGTTCCCAATTCCTTTCGGAATTTCCCCTTTAAGTCCACATTCAACAACCATTAACTTTACAAGAGACATTTCCAACTGAAACTGGAAGCACAACATTCAGAGGGTTCAACGATACATCAAGAAATTCTAATTCTCTACAATTTGATAAGGAAGTAAAGAAGCTCGACCTAGTGTCACTCATTAAATTGTTCCCCCCAAGCCTAGTACTTTAGATGAGTCATATATCCGAAAGAGTTTGGGATCAAACCGGTTAGTTTGTTATAAGAAAGGTCAAGATAAATGAGTTTGGAACAATTGAAGAGAGAATGAGGTATAGTTCCAAAAAGATTTAAACTAGATAGATAAAGACCTTCAATGTTGGGTAACATAGAACCTATGCTCAATGGGAGGACGCTTCCTGTCAGATTATTTTGCACAAGTTCGATCACTCTCATCCCTGACATGTTGAAGAGTTCCATTGGAAGTGCACCGGTAAACTTGTTGAGACCCAAGTAAATTTCAACCAATTCAACGAGATTGCTTACGTCTGGTATTTTACCTGCAAATGTATGATTGTTAAAATAGTAAAGGTACAACTAGTAATGATACTTTAGTTTCCATTTGTCCTAATTTATACGACTTACTTTCTTTTTAGTCCATCAAAAAAGAATAATATATTTATTTATGTAGTAACAATTTAACTTTAAAAATTATTTGTACCCATACAAATATCCACAAGTTTCAAAAGACATTCTTTCTTAAATTTTGCATTAAGTTAAACTAATTGGGACGGAAGGAGTACCTTTTTTGACTATATATGTACATACCTGTTAGCTTGTTTTCAGTAAGACGTAGACTCTGCAATTTGGTCAAGTTGCCAACCTCCCTGGCAAGGATCCAATGAGGTGGTTCCTTTCCAAATACAACGTCTCCAGCGAGGAGATATTGAATATGGAGATTGGGATATGACCCGTAATCTGGTTGCTATCTAGTCCTAATTCCACCAAATTATCAAGAATCCCGATTTCCTGTGGTATTGTCCCTGCCAATTCTTTTACGTTAGTTGTTTGACCACTTCCGTGACTAATGCTCAAGTTGCTTGAATTTATGTTTTCAATAACCCAATGACTACTTACATACCTGTCAGCATATTGTAACCAAGATATAGAATCCGCAATTTGTTCAAGTTGCCTATCTCCCTCGGTAAGGATCCCATGAGATTGTTCATTTCCAATGACATCGTTTGCAACGAGGAGATATTGAATATGGAGAATGGGATGCTACCAGTTAGATGGTTTCTCTCTAGCCCCAAAACCTCCAAATTATCAAGAATCCCAATATCTTGTGGAATTGTCCCTGTCAAAACAATAACATACATATAAATTTATGTGTGATGGTTTCTATTCGGAAATAGTTAGTTAGAAGAAAATCTAGCACTCAACAACAAACCTTCAAATTGGTTCTGTCCGAGATACAAAATACGTAGGTCACTTAAATGTCCAATTTCACTATGTATAGGTCCATCAAACTTGTTCACTGATAAAGACAATAGTTGAAGTTTCGAACAGTTTGGCAAGCTTAGAGGCATATGACCACGTAGCTCGTTGAAACTTAGATAAAGCTCTTCCAACATTGATTGTCGATCACACATATCAGGAGGAAGATTTCCTGATAAAGTGTTATCTGTCAATGCAATGACCTTTATTCCAGAAATGTTGAAGATCGAGAATGGTATAGATCCTGTAAGTCGATTAGCTTCTATATTTAATTCCTTTAAGTTTTGAAGTTTGCCAATCTTTTCTGGTATCTGACCACCTAAAGAATTGAATCTCAAATTTAAAGTTTGAAGCCCGGAAATATTAGATAATAGAAAGGGGATGAAACCATTGAAACTATTATTCCTAAGATTCAGAACTTGAAGTTCGTGTAAGTTCCCAAACCATGAAGGAACCTCCCCGCTAAGCATATTAACACCCAAATTAAGAAACCTTAATCGACGTAGATGTGCTATTTCTTGAGGCAAATATCCATACAAGTTGTTGTGACTCAAGTCGAGGGAAACAAGAAATGTGAGATTCCCGATATGAGGAGGAATTTTTCCGATTAATGCCATATTGGAAATATTGAGTGATCTCACTCTCTGGTGGCGAGAACCACAAGTGACTCCGACCCAATGGCAAACAGAAGTAGTTGGAGACCAACTTTCATCCAACAGGTGGAAAGGGTCCGAAATGATTTGAGATTTTAAGGAAAGGAGAGCGGATTGATCGGTAGAAAAGTTTGTTGGGTTCATGGCTGAAGTAACCATGACATAGTGAAGCAACAAGAGTGTCAAGAGGAAAGAGCAATTGGCTTTTTTCATAATTGCATAAATTACTAGGAACATGGAATAACTAGTAACAATGTGGTTTTGAGATTTAAATAGCAATAAGATTTCCTTTTTGGTCTTCATAATTTCTTAAAGAGTAAAGTATTAAAAACACCTCTAAACTCAGCGTAAATTATTAGTTTCATCCTCGAACTATTGACAGCCTTAAAATTACTCATTTACTTGATTAACTAAACTTAAATATACACGATCTTGCAACATGAGTGAAATACACCCTTAAATTCTCATCAAGTTAAGAGTGTTTTCAACACTTCTCTCCGTTTTTTATTAAGAGTCTCATGCTCCTACAAGAGTTTGAGACCGCTTGCTATGTCATGTGGCAGATCGTATGTCATGTGGCAAATTGGGGGTGTATCTAAGTTTAGTTAGTCAAATACATAGATGTTTTTAAGGCTGTCAATAGTTCGAGGATGAAGCTAATAATTTGTGTCAAGTTCAGGGATATTTTCAATACTTCTCTCTTTGTTCCATTTTATATGACTGGCTTTTCTTTTTAATCAGACAAAACAAGAAGACGCATTTTTATACTTGGTAACAATTTAACTTTACAATATTCAGTTTACCCTTAATAAAATTAATTACATCCACACAAACATTTATAACATATTTTTAGACCATCAATTTTAAAAGTCTTTCTATCTTTTTAAGTTATGTGTCAAGTTAAACTATTTCACATAAATTGGGACGGAGAGTATTTTTTAGGAGACTTTTCTTTCAAATAGTGCAAAAACTTTTCTTAATTTGTTTTGTCATCTCAACTTGTCTTCCTCATGTTCAGACTTAATTAATTCCACTACCTTGTAATTAAGTTATGTAGACTATTGACATAAGATGGACGAGCTAGGTTATATATCACACAATAATTTGTAAAAGTCAATTTTGTGCATTTGTATGACAATGCCCCTTCATGAAAAGGAAAAAAATGATGTTCACATATAGTTCAAGTGGAAGACCAAGAAAACTAATACAAGTACTACTCCCACTATTCATATTAATTAAATTTCTGAGACTTTATTCATTATTCAAAATAATTGAACTGTTCAAAGTTTAAGATAGATGTTTGATTTTTTTTCTTCATATTTGTCCTTTTATTTATTGTAGTTTTATATTTTCTAGAAAATAAATTGCATTACTTACAAAGTTATATTTATGATTTCACATAGGATAATAGTAGAAATTACGGTTTAAATTATGTCCTTAAATATTTTTCTTTACAAATTCAGTTAATATGGAATAGAAGGAATAGTATATGTATTATTTATGTAAATATATTGTCCATATAAATATGAAATACTATCAGAAAATATTTTCTATACTCTTTTTACTTTCCTACAATCAGTTGGATTCACTCAGTTCAATGTCAAGTGCTTTTGCGTATGTATTTGTGCATATAGAAACTTTAAAAATCATTAGAAGATGAAAGATTAATTCAATTTCTTATGGGTCTAAATGATTCTGAATGTATTTGTGAAATGAGTTCTATATCCAATTTTGATCTTATTATACATGAGGATCATACAAAGTCTCCACATATAATTACTATAAATATTTTCATCTAGTTGTCCACTATACTATTTTGGGATGTCCAACAATATTTGTATATTTTATGAAATCAATGAGTAATTTTACACTTAATTTCTAATTTTACTCTTATCATTAATTATAGTAATTTCCCTATTACATTTTTCAAGACATTGTATATAAAGTTAATAGTGGACAAATATTATTAGACAGAGATCATACTCCATCTGTTCCTAATTACTTGTCCACTTTTAAATTGACACACTTATTAAGAAAATAATTATTGACATATTAAGTTTACCATTTTACCCTATTAATTATGAAGTGGTTGAATTAAAACCTTAAGATTTTTAAAAAGTTATACATTTTTCAGAGTAATTAATTGAGGGTTTAATAGGTAAAAATATTTTGTCCTTTCTTGATTTGTGAAAATGGACAAGTAATTAGAGACAACTAAAAAAAAGTGGACAAGTAATTAGGGACAATTAAAAAAAGGAAAAGTGGACAAGTAATTAGGGACAGAGGGTGTATTTGGATATGTAATTTCTTTACTTATGATTTTAAATATCAAATTCTCAAAAAAAAATGATTTGAAATTTCAAATTCTTTTAAATGTAAAACTTGATTCATAAGTTTATGTTATCTAAATAATACAAAAAAAAAAAGACTTCATATTAAATTTTACAAAAAAAAAAGACTCATGTTGAGGATGATGAGTTTACTTGACCATTT